GTGTTCTTTTGCCTTGGCACCTCTCTGCTGTAGAAGTCCCTTTGCTGACTCATAGCACTTTTGCTTGGCCGGGTCCCTGTTCAGGCATCATCTGTAGGGGGCCAACCTGGCCCTGCATTTCTTCCACCAGCAGAGCTCGCTCGTTACAATGGAACAGCCAGAGGAAACAAAGTGACGCTGATCTTTCAGTGTGCATTTTTCTGATCCTCCATAGGAATGTATTGGGTGGTTTCATTTTATCTATGAATTATATATTAGAGTCACTGTTTCTACTTATTTGTTATTTGTTATGACTGTGGGTGGACTTGTAAAGAGACTACACTTTATCTTATTTTAATTTATATATTTGAGACAGGGTCTTGCCCTGTAGTTCAGGATGGCCTCCAACTTACTTAGTGTAGCCCAGGCTGGCCTCAAACTCACAGTGATCCTCCTGCCTCAGCCTCCTGAGTGCTGGGATTAGAGAAGTGTGCCACTATGCCTGCCGAGAGTCCATTTTACAGAGCAAAATAAAAAATATAGCCAAGAAACCCAGTATTGCACCATACCCGAGAATATTATTAATATGATATAAGTAAGTGCTAAAAAGCAAATGGTTTAACATATTTCTCATGGTCATGTATATTTAGTATTTAATTTGATTCTTTTAAATATTTTGCTTTGTGATAACTGTAGGTTCACCGGAAGTTATGAAGACAGTACGGAGAGGTCCATGGACACTGCACTCAGATTTCTTTAAAAGTTGTATTTTTTTTTTTTTTAAATTTTAAAGAGTAAAAGAAGGATAACATAGTAATAGGGGGGCTTACCGAATTACAGACAAAGTGGTAGGAAATTATCAATGGTTGTTGTTTTACATATTGTTATCTACAAGATAGTTTCTCAGGAAAACAAATAGACAAATAATAGTGAACTACAGACAAAAGTGGTAGGTTATTACCAATGGTTGTTGTACTATACTTTGGTATCTTCAAAGTGGTTTCTAAAGAAAATAAATAGAGCTATATATGAGTGACCAATTGAATGTTCATTGACTATTCTCAATGGTTGTTGTAGGAAACACATAGTAATAAACATGCATCCATTAACAACATAGCATAGGGGGGCTGGGGATTTAGCTCAGCGGCAAAAGCGCCTGCCTGGCAAGCGCAAGGTCGTGAGTTCGGTTCCCGGTACCGGAGAAAAACAAACAAAAAAACAAAAAACAAAAAAAAAAAAACATAGCATAGGAACAATACAAACATTACAGAGTTACGGACAGATTAGTAGGAAAATATCGATGGCTGCTGTAATACGTGGTGGTATCTTCAAAGTGGTTTCTCGGGAAGACAGAGATATGCAAGAAGGATCTAACAAGTAGTTACAGCCTAAGGGTTGTGAAAAATAGCGTATTACCTCCTCACCAGTGACTCCTGTCACTGAGGTGTGATGGCTGGAAGGAAGGCCAGGATTGAAAAGAAGGACTGAGAGACTTGCACCTGTGTCTAGCAACAGGCTGTTTTAAAAGTTGTATCTTAAAAAAAGTTGTATCTTACATAGTCATGGTTCACTATCAATAGCAGAAATCTGAAGTTGGAACAGTGTATTTGCATAGTTTTGTGCCATTGTCTCAGATGTGTAGATTCACATAACCACCACTGCCATCCAATACAGAGCTCGTCCTAGAGGCACATCTCCCCAGTGTTACCCCTTTGTAACCACACCCATCCTCGGGCAGTGGCAAATCTGTTTCTTGTCTGTATAACTGTGCTGCAGAGGGTGATGTGAATGTAAGCACGCAGTACATGAGCATTCTGATGCCACCTGGAACACGGCTGCTCTGATCCTGGCTGCGGAAACGAGCACAGATCCCCACCCCCCCATGCTGTCATACACCAGTTACGTTTCAGGGTCCCTAGAGCCCTGCACTTCTGACCAAGCAGTTACAAATGTGGGATTTCCATAGCCCCTTGGGCTGCATCATTCACTCAAACCACTACACTTACGATTAGTTTTATTATAAAATGTCCATACCTGGACAAGGCCAGTGAAAAGATACATAGGGTGAGTTCCAAGAAGGTCTGGAATGTGAGGCTTCCAGGCCTCTCCTTGTGGAACTAGGCACATTACCACCCCCCCCCTCGTGCTCTCAGTGTGGTCACCAACCAGGAAGCTCCACTGAGCTTCAATGTCCAGAACATTTATTGAGATTTCATTATTTAGGTTGATTGATTAAATCACTGGCCACAATGCCAGATGTGGTAGCACACATCTGTAATCCCAGCACTCAGGAGGCTGAGGCAGGAGGATCACTGTGAGTTTGAGGCCAGCCTGGACTACATAGCAAGACTCTATCTCAAAAACAAACAAATAAACACAAATAAATAAATCACTGGCCATAAGATTGAACTCAGTCTCCACCCGCCCTCCTCCCTAGATGAGGTGCAAAGCCCTACCCATCTAACCACGTGATCGTGATCGGTGAACAGCTTCCCCTGTCTCCCCACCTAGAGTCACTTCTACATAAGTTCAGGTGTGATCCAAGCAACTCATGAATAACCAAGCTTTCTTATCATGTGGGAACTTCCAAGGAGTTAGAACGTTCTTTCCAGGAACCAGGAACCAAAGCTAGTCAGTCTTTATTATACAACAGGCGCTTTCTGAGTTTTCATTCAGCCTAGAGCTCATCTGAGTTGATACATATGTCAATGAGCTACGCCTTTTCATTGCTGTGTGGTATGCCATTGGTGTGGAGGTACCTCAGTTTGGTCATTCACATTTTGTGTGAGCATAAGTTTTCAATAAGAACCGCTCCTAGGCAATGGATAAAATATCTGTCAGTGGTTGACATAGGCACTGAGATCTCATACAAGCTTCCTTACATTGCGTAGGGAGATTCAGTCCTCTCCCTCGGCACAATTGAGAAAATCACGTATAGAAGAGTCCCCAGGTCACAGGGGGAAAAGACAGCAAGCCAGTACACTGCTTGTGACCTGAAGGAAAGCCTGTCCTTGAACCAAATTTACAAAATTGTTTTAGTAGGTTAAAAAAAAATACTTGTGTACAATTGTGTTAATGGAAAGTGAGAAGAATATTCCTTTCTGCATGGGATCCTGAATATTGACCTAATTTTTTTTTTCTGGTATCGGGAATTAAACTCAGGATCTTGCACTTGCCAAGCAGTTACTTGTGCTGCTGAACTACAACCCTGGCCCTAAAATGTTTTCTGAAAAGAAAAACAAAATGAAGAGCATTGAGGGAGGCAGTCAATTTAAGAAGGCATCACAGGTTCTGAGCAAACTGCTCTGTGTTTCCGTGACACACTTGGGCTGTGATCTTGACTTTTTAAAAAAACGATTCTTGTGAATTCCATCCCCAGCTGTCGTCTTTCTCTGTAAACTTCTACTAATAGCCTGTGCCTTCTTAAGAAGCAAAAATTGTAGACAGCATCTGAACCTGCATGATTTTTTTCTATGGGCCGAAAGGGTCTTCCTTGGGTCACGAATATCAGACGTCTCTTTGGAGGCCCCAGAGGGGGCTGTTTTCAGAGCCTGCAGAATGTACGGCACTCAGGATGCTCCAGCAACAGGCTGGCTGCAGGAATGGAGCCACAGACGTGCTCTGTGCAAGCTCTGAGGAACCCAGCAGCAGCAAACCGCGCAGCACCGGGGGACGGGCTCTCATCAGGACCGAGCCGAGGTGAGCAGGCAGCCTCAGCCAGAGCCGGGAGGAGGCTGAAGTCAGGTCAGGAGCAGGTTCACCACCTCCGCTCGCCACACCCACCCCAAACCTGGCCTGAAGACACTGCTGTGGCCTGCAGACTGAGAATAAAATCAACGTAGCTGAGAATGACAGATTTGTTTTTATTTGGAACTAATTAAGTTTACCACCTGGGAAAATAAAACTCCAGCATTCTAGGTGTTGGAAATCATATCTTTTATTAGTCAGGAATTACGATAGTACTGGCAAAAGATAAGCTGTTTTGTAAGACAGGGGCTGGGTGCCCTTTCGGTCTCTGGGTGGTTTGAGAGAGGAGGTCCTTTGCATAATAAGGTCAACATAGGTTCACAAGAAGTTTCTGGCAACTATAGTTTGGGCCAGTTCCAGTGTCTGGGGCAGTCCAGTGGTTCAGCTGTGGTGCGTCTGAGGTTTGATTAACAGAGGCCTCCGAACTCCATTTTAAGTGTCCCAAACCAATGCTACCTTATTTTTGCATCCCAGCATTCAGGAGGCTGAGGCAGGAGGATGGCTGTGACTTCAAGGCCAACCTGGGCTATGTAGTGAGGCCTGTCTCAAAAAAAAAAAAAAAA